TATTTCTGTTAAAGGTTGTTATCAAAAAGTAACTAATTTTATTTACATCGATAATGCGTATTTGAATGTCACTGCGCAATTGTCAGAGCAAGTTACGCAGAAGTAAATTTATTCGTAATTATAAATATCCTTAAATGTGTACTTTTAAATAGTTAAGGCTAAATATTTAGGTTAAGGCTAAATCTGTATATATCATGTTTTTTTATTGTATGATAGATAGCATGTTTCACGTTGGCCTTTGTTGCAAAGCCTGCATTTTTACGATTATTAAAGTGTTTATATAATCCTTTTATATTGTGTGTGTATCGTTGCCACTGCAAGAGAGAATGGTATTGTTTCTTATATGACTACATTATTTGAAAATTTCCTTCGTTTGAGAAGCTGAGTAAAACCAACAATGAAAGAGTAATTGTAGGAGAGAGTATTTTCTGAATTTAGATCCACTAACTTCGCTTTTAAAGTATTTTTATGTCCTATAGGTGTATTCTTATTTCTCTGGTGGTGTTCCGGTAGTTCTGAATATTTTGCATATGTCTATTTCTTACGATCTCAGGTTTAGTTGTGATAAATCTTGAATGATTAGCTTTGTTAGTTAACGAACAAATAGTCGCTTAACGATAATCAAATGGATGTAATATGGATATTATCAATTCATATGATCTCTGATATGAATTTTCCCACATTGCAAAGATCTACAAAACGCAGATCTTTTCTTCTTCCCAGATTTGTGCCAGAATAAGATAAAGTAAATGAGCTATTATTGTAGAGCAAGCTTTCAAAATTGTATTAGTTTTTATGATTCCAGTGAATGACATATTCCAGTGGCAATCAGTCTTATCTGAGATGAATTTCACTTAAACCATAACATGTGAGTCCATTGTGATGCTTTGGCAAAGGTTTTATAGAATGCTGATTTCTAAGAATTTTAAGTACACGAAATTTTTAAATAAATTTTTATTTAGTGTGTATCCAAATGGGCTTATATTGATCGTTTTTTTTTTCTTTTCTGTTATTTTATTAATTTTTTAATAGATTTGCATTTATTTCAAAATGTCATTCAAATAAATAGATCTTACCCTGAGTAAAAAAAAGTTATAAATAAAGTTGTTTGTATGTTATTAAAATGCATTAAAATGTAATTTTGGAAATTATTTTTTAAAAAAAAATTTCATTTCAAAAATAGGCTCGAGGCAACTGCATTTATATTTTTGCTCTCATATCCTTTTATATGACGCCATCAGTAAAAAAAAAAATAGAACACTGCTCATATATCTTATAGATTGTCCGAAGTTTTTTCCAATATACAGTCAAACTTCAATAGCTCGAAGTACTGTTTTGCAAAGAAAAGGTTCCACTTATGAAGAATACGATTTGAAGAAAACCTTGTGCACTCTCTTTAGTTCGGGTTATAGAAATATAACTATAAGTTATAGATGTTCGAGTTATGGAAGTTCGACTGTATTACATTTTGGCAAAATTAATATTATTATTCAAAAGCCACTATCATTTTGATAAAATATTATTTTAATAACATTTTTTTTCTGTAATTTAAAATAATTGCTTTTCTTCATACATTATAAAATTATGTATCCATTTCCGCGATATTCCGTGATAATTCTAAAAATAATTGTTCTTTTCTGCTAAAATAGAATTAAAATATTAAATAAAATAATAAAATATTCAAAATAATATTAAATTTTCTATAAATTAGTGTTATAACGCAATCAAAAAGAATTTCCTTTTTTTTCTCTTCGCAATTTGGTCATGTATATAGGCATTGTTAAATATGTATATAAAAGTTAAAATAATATTTATAACAGTTAAAAAGAGATTGTAAAAAGAAAAAAATTTTGGTTGTCTTGGTTTATATAATACTTTTGACATAATTTTAAGCTTTAAATTTTGAACTGTCTTATGAATATTCTGCTCAAATCTTCCATCTATTGGTACTAGTCGACGGCGAACAACAAATGCCAAATCAAACCATTCATAATAGACCGATAGATTTTCATCCTTTCATAATTAGCCAAGTTTTCTGTGAATACTCTCAACTGAACTGTTCAGTTTCGCTTTACTTCATTATGTTGTCATTCAATAGTATCCGAGCATCCGCGAATCATACATAAATCGTTGGCTGTGAAGAATTCCTTTGCATTAAGAACCCTCACAAATATACTAAGCACTTCTATTAATGGCCTTACAAATATACATTTAAATGAGCAAAATAAAATGTATGTACGTTTAAGTTGTCGCCATTTCGCTATTCGCTTCTGTGTTCAATTCCGTCCGTTCGTATTACAAATTTTCTCATTTGTTTGTAGAATTTTTTGTAGTGTCAACATTTATATGGCATTATATTCTGTCGTATAAATAGCTTTTTTCTGTATACAGTTTTTAAGTTCAAGTTTTTCTTAAAGCATTCCTAAAAGTCCACCCACCATTCTCTTAGTCTATTAACTGTTCTCATTTTTCACTTGTTGCCTTAACTTTCGTTAATCCTTTGTAATGAATTGTACGCCATTTTCAATGGATTGTGTGGCCAGTGCCTGATAACAAATTTTGTGCTAATTTGACTTTTAAATTTACATGAAACAACGGCTTTTCTCAGTGCATAGAAGCTTGGAGTTGTAAAATGTTGGCACTTAATGACACTACGACATTGTAACATTCTATCAATCAAGTCGATCTCCAGTTGTAATGATGTAATCACTTATGTCCTCGCTTATAGAGACAGGGCTAACTACAATGCAAGTAAGGATTATCATTTATACTTACGGGTCAAAGATGGATAGAGACCAGAGAACTGCAAAAAGTACTCAACACTTCGCTAGCAGTCCCGTAGAATAGAAATATACATGTCTATTATTTATTGATAACGAAATCAACATTTCGTTTATAGCAACAGAAATAGAGGAACCTAGATTCGAGTAATAAAACCTCTATCTACGTCATACGTCCTACCATAGCAAACTTTCCACTGCTCCTATCAAATAAATTTATTGTAGGACTGGACCTGGAATCCGGCGAGCAAAACCCCGGCCAAAAAGGTTCGTTACAGCACTTATAATGATTTATACTTTTCTCATATGATACTCATAAACACCCACACTCGACACAAAAATGATGCAAATAATTTCTAAATCATTCATGAGTATTTCGTCACAGTCGGGAAAAATTTGGCTGTTGATGTTTATTATGCAAATAATTTCTTACTTAAACAATTCCTAATTTAATACAAATATATTAAAGAAAACAAACAAAATACATGCATTTAAAATGCAAACAACAACAACACACATAAAAAGCACGAAACTAAACACACAAATTTTTTTCTTAGCAAACAAAAGCGCGCCTGATCGAGTCATTTATTTTTGATGAGTACTTTCATTGATTTATACCACTCGAGTATATGTATTGATTCATGAGTCATTTGCCATTTATGCTACTCTACTTAAAAATGTGTACAAATTCGTGTGAAGCTGATTCGTTAGCTCCTGCACTTGAAACGAATACACTTATGAATCAGTTTTGTGGTGAATGTGAATGGAAAAAATGCAGAATTATGTTTTGTTTTTGTATGGCAACAATTATGACTTTTTGCAGTTCTCTGATAAAGACATATAAGCCGGAATATATTCCGTGGACCAAGTGATTTATAAAACCTACCACTTTTAGAAGTTTACTTTAATAAATCAGGCGAAAATCCTGAGTCCGTTCTCTTGCTGCAAACATTTACTTCTAGAAACAGAAAATCTATAATGTCAATAGTAGTCAGACAACTACCAAATTTATTTCAATAAAAAATTTATAAATTTATTAGGTACCTCTAAGGTAATTCTGATTTCAATACTTGGATATACTGATATAGCGTGAAATGAGCGCGCTAATGAGCTAGCGAGACAACGCCTCTTCACTGAAATTTCACGTTTCAATCCCTGCTTCTGCCAGCCACAGACGAAAGTTGACAAACAATCATTTTTTATAACAGGTCAACAGAATTTGGGCTAATATTTCTTTAGCAGACAGGTCAATAGCGACATGGACTATATACTACAAATGTGGAACTTCTGACTGAATTCATAAAAGTAAATCGAAGAATGTAAAATGATATCGGTCCTAACGATCAATGAACTATAGGACAGTATAGATCCAGAATGAGCCTACCCTGTCGAATCTCTTGTATATGTTTATCAGCGCTCAAAGAGGAGAGACCGAAAAATCTCGTGTTCTATGGATAGGCTTAAGCTTTTGGGCGTGAGTATGGATATGAGTATAAATAGTATCATGTGGAATACGATGAAATCATATATGGTATAAAGTTCTGATTTGATTGAAAAGAGTTTCAATACCTGAAATTTCAATACTACTCTTGTAGAAATATTTATCTTTGACTTATAAATACGACTTTGTTTTGACGATGACATCTTCACTGGACAAATGTCTTTCTGCCTGGAGCATTTTTTCATAATCTGGGAAGGGTTGTAGTCACTGGAGGCCAAATCTGGCGAATACAACTCTAAACAGCTCTCTAAATTGTCAAAACATTGTTGTTTTTAATCAACTGCGAACAAACGGAACATTTAGCGTCAGTGTTTATATTGCCACGTTTTAAAAGCGTTATTATTACTTATTTGAAACTTATTAGAAAAAAAAAAATTATTTTTTTACCTATTTTATAGCCTATATGAGGTACCGATGCACTTATACAATTCATAATACATTATACGATGCCAGAGATGCATAGAGTATATTAAAATAATCATACAGTTTATTATTTTTAAACTTTGTAGTCCCTACAAAAAACAAAACTATAACAGTGGTCTGGTCCATGGTAAAAAAAAAGGTTGGGAATAATCGATCTAGACAATATATTTTGAAATTTTCCCATAATATGTAGGTTTATGAATACCATATTAGAGAGCAAAATGTTTAGTTCAATTTATTTTAATTGTATATAAAATATGTAAGCTGTTAATAAATATATTTGAAATCGTTTTAAGCTTGGAGCAAACGGTGGTGCTGCAAATGTCGGTTCTTTTTCTGAAGCTAGCACAGAAATTTTACAAACTCATTCAATCAATTCAATATTGGAGCAGCGTCAAGATCTTTTAAATCAACAAAATGAAACCACAGGACGGATTTTGTCACCAATAAATGGTATGAAATGAAATTATAATATTTGACATTTAGAATTTTTGTAAAATGTATATAAATAATTATCCATAAGTATTTTTTTTACGAATCTAAAGGGGCTTATACGAATAAGTCAATGTCTGTATTAAGAACACTACAAAAATTGAATAATTGGTTTTATATATTCTTTAATTAGATGATATAACTATATATGTAACATATTTTAAAAAAATAATTATTATATTAATATACTCTATTGACGAAAATGTGACCTTAAATTCACCTTAAATTTCCTGAGAAGATACATACGTAAATTGGCAGCCCTATACTGTTTTTAACTGTGATGATGTTGTTGTTGTTGTAGTTCGCGGAAATCTGAAAACAGATAACATGAAAGAAATTTCATGACAAATACTTGGGTGAGGATGTAGACGAATAATGATTTTGTGAGAGAGAAGGAGATCATTGGGAATGGGTGGAATATAAATTGATTTTAACCAAGACTGATTAAGCCTGAGAAACCTGACTGGTCACTTCAATGGATAGGTACAAAGACTAGATTAAGGTTTGTTTGTGCACAGAAAGTTTCTCCACATGGATTGCACAAACTGTGATGATAGACATCAACAGTTAATATGTTTTTAAGGAAGCATTATGAATGAAGGTCTCTATTGTTTTGAATCAAATTTATGTCTGGATATGTGGTTGTTAACAAACAATTTTTTCGGATTATGAAGTTGTTTGCCATCTTATTAAAATTGTACACAGACTTTGGGATCCTTATGTCTAATGCTATTTGTACGCTAGGTAAAGTTATGCTGGCAGATCAAAAAGGCCACGTGTAGACCATTAAGGTCCATTGCGATAACAGATTAAAGTCTTAATTTTTTAAGCGATAGTGTGCATTGCTTAGGTTGCGCGTGTTAATAGCGAATTTTATTAGGATTTCAACAGAAACCTCAAGTATGTACTCTAGTCCGGTAAAATTGACAGCCCCCCCCCCCCCCATGTATTTTTGTCGAGTTCTTAAGAGAGTCGGACAGTTACACAACATATGCTCCAGGGTTTCCTTTGCATCCGGCTTAGTTTGTGCGCATGTGATGAGAACATACAGTAACCTGTCAATTAGAAAGCCAAAGGAACTGTAAAACATTTACAGTTCCTTCGGCTAGTCGATATAACATTCTTGGTGTACTTGTCTACACATAATCCTAGCAATGCCACCCGTATCTTATCACAAAAAAAATTTATTAAAAAGATTTTATTTATGTCTGTACTGCTAGCGGAGCAGAAACTAGAGTTGTAAGCTAAACAAGCGATATATCAAATTTATTATTAAAGAATTATAAATATAATTAATAAAAATAAGATTAAATTAATTGATTGCTTTTTAATTAATAAAATACAGAAAGCATAAAACTTGTATTAATAGAAGATATATATTTTTTATTTACATTATTTAGATTTATTTAAATTGAATTTTTACGGATTGAAAAATGCACATGATTTTCCTCTAGCTTCTAACGGAGATGCAATGAGTTCATCAATGCCACCATATACACCTCTAACTCCAAGTTCCACACAGTCTTTACTATCTCCAGCACATACTTCTTCAAATTCCCTAGACGTTTTTCAAGTAAGTCAACTATTTGGTTCTTTTTTTTAAACTTAATATTTAATATTTTAATGACGTCAATATATTTCTATTTTTTTAATATGTTTGCATATTGTTATATACACTGCACAATTGCACTCACAAATAAATGTATTTTCAATTCAAAATCTATATAGCATTCTAATCTATTTATCTAGTTTTTTTTATATTCTCTTATATGATATTTATATTTTTATTTTGTATATATATATATTAAATATATACGTATATTTACTATATATATTAATATATATATATATATATATATTTATATATATATATATATATATGCGTGTATTTATGTATATATTTATATGTTTATGTGAATTTTACTAATTCTCTTTAGTTTGAAAATGTTGCACAAAATACACCAATCAAGGCTTTCCAAAAAAACGTCAGCTTCGATTATTCTGCACCTTTATCGCCAAGTACGCCTACATCTAATTTTAATCGTTCTTTTCACAATTCACCTTTAATCAGGTAAAATTACCTCTTTGTGTACATTTTATATGCTATGTGTTTATATTATTATTTGAAGCAAATTTAAATATTTAATAAATTAATAACATTTTAGTGACAGCAGCAATTCTTCTAGCGGTTATGGAATATCGCTTGATTCTATACCAATGATTTATCAGAATACTTACAATGGAAGCGGTCCTTCTTGGAGCCGTTCTAATTCACCGGAGAGTCAAAATAGTAATCAATCTAATGCTGAACAGAAACTGATGGAGGCAGCTATGGTATGTTTTAAACAAGGCGAATTAATTGCTCATGTTTTTATTTTAAACTGTTATTATACACTTTTAGAATGTATTGTCTATCAATAATACAGAATCGGAAAATCAAGGAAATTTAATGAAATTACAGAATTCTCCATCAACTCCGCCAGCAAATCTATTTGACGAAAAGAATTTGCCTCACTACGAAACACTATCTGCTATTGATTTTGAATTATCTAAATTGCAAACTTTAAACACCTTGAAAATGTTGCAAGCTCAAACGCAGCGATTCCCATTTCTTAACAATTTACTTCAAGGCTATAATACTGTAAATCATCAGGTACCAGAAAAATGAATTCCATTTGATAATAAAATGCATAATGCATAAAACATTTCTATTTAATTTAGTTTAAAAATATACAAATGCCTCAATCAGCTGTCGGCTCGATTAATGATGCTCATTTAGATCGTATTGCAAAGCTTTATCGTTGCTCTGCATCGTACTATGAGGCTACTTGTACTTGGAGTGGACAACTACCACAGCGCTCACATCGTATGCTGAACTATTCACCAAAAGTTTTTTTAGGTGGAATTCCTTGGGATATTAGCGAACAGTCTTTGATACAAATTTTTAAACCATTTGGTCAAATTAAGTAATTAATTTCCCACTATCAATTCAATACATTATAAGTAATATGAGTGTAAACTTATTTACAGGGTAGAATGGCCTGGAAAAGAACAACAGGCTGCTCAACCGAAAGGATTTGTGTATATAATTTTTGAATCAGAGAAGCAAGTTAAAGCTCTTCTCGCTGCCTGTGTATTTCAATCAGATGATTCTCTAAACACCGTTACTTATTACTTTAAAATATCTTCCAGACGCATTAAATCAAAAGACGTTAGTTCATCATATTTTATTTAAATTCAAATAGAAAATAATTCTCATATTACTGTTTAAATAGGTAGAAGTTATTCCTTGGATAATAGCGGATTCAAATTTTGTTAAAAATACTTCACAAAAGCTGGATCCTACAAAGACTGTATTTGTTGGCGCTTTACATGGTAAACTAACAGCAGAAGGTTTAGCTAAAATAATGGATGAACTTTTTGATGGCGTATTGTACGCAGGTACATAACTTCTATTTTCTTTTATATATAAAAGCATATATGTTTCCACATGGTTAAAAATTAATATTGATTCCGATGAGTTAGAATAAAATCAATTGTTTGGCTAGGATGACTTATAGCTATATAAATAGCCGTTATATACTTGACATCCCTTTCATTCTTGTCAATCTTAACTTTGCAATTATTTATGTGTCATCTTTTTGCGTAAATTATTTTGTTCTTGTCATTACCTGTTATCGCTTTCAAATTAGTTTGATTGTATTCGGTTTCAATTCACATAACGAAATTCATTCTATTAAATGCTTTCGTTCTATATTATTATATTGGGGTTAGTTGAGTCAGTGTACTTGAACACTTTTACTCTCTACTAACTGTGAGGTTTCTTCATAACCCTTCTCTACGCCTTAACTGGATTATTGTTTATTAATTCATCAGACTAATAACTGACCTCGGATCTGCATACCTCCACGAGGAGCCTGTAACCATTCCGAGATTCGATAACGCGGCGTTGGTAAGCCTGTCAGTTTTCGTAAATAGTTTCAGTGCCCTATCCTTTATGTATTTTTTAATGGGATCAATCTTGAGGTCCCTGAGGATGTCATTCGTCGTAATGTATAACTGCTCTGTTTAAATGATTTATAACATAATTGTGGTTTAACGGCTTTAACACATATATCAAGATAATGCGCCGATAAACGTTCCATTGAAAATTCTAATGAATTTCCGCTGGCACTAATGAAGTTATGTGTTTTGGACGTAACTTCTTCCTTGGTAGGGAGCGACGTCCACCCAATCTCTGGTGATCTTTGGGGCACAGCATCCGGTGATGAATATGCAACACCACGCCAAATGATGAATGAATACCAATTATTCTACCCGCGTAAGTTTGGGTATTCTTAACCACAGGCACTATGACACTCCCAACCTCAATTGGTTAGGACAGCCGAAGATGTGGGCACTGACCCCCGTAGTACCAGATTTACACCTTGGTCGGGTGCTGTAAGTGCCGTGTCACTTACTATCGTTGTAAGTGCTGTGTCACTTACTATCATGCACACTTACTACCATGCACATTCCAAACAGTGTCGGCATAGCTCTGAGATTTTAGCCGTCTCTCATAACACGCATGCCTTACCTTGGGAATATTCTAACCTCTTACCCGTAGATCATCTGTACTAACGGGTGACTTCAGAATGTAGTTCTTACTGACTAAATTAGCCATTACAGACGTGAGTCGTCTTTGGCCGCCTTCACTTGCCTCTGCCAGAATCTACATTTGCATATTATGCACCCAAACCCTCAGCGTGCCGGAGTGCAAATTATTTACTGGCAGTTGATTGATATAGAGCAGTATATCGTCATTCAAAAAAGTACTGTGGACTAAAAACTATTTAATATTTCGCAAAGATTGATAAAACTGTTAATGCGTTTTGCAAGAACCGGTAACGGTGTCTTCACAAAAAATAATATATGATATTTAATGGATATATATTTAATAATATATAATATTTAATATATAATATTTAATACTAAGCACCAATCTCAATATAATATTTTTTAATAAAAAAGTGATGTGCAAATATTTTTGCATTACCTAATTAATGTTCATTTAAAAAATTTATTTGATTTTGAATATAAAATATTTTTGTAAATATTTACAAACTATTAATATGTTTAACATTCTTAACACAATTAAAGGAATCGATACTGACAAATATAAATACCCAATTGGTTCTGGACGTGTTACATTCAGCAATAATCGGTCTTATATGAAAGCAGTTATGGCTGCCTTCGTAGACATACGCTCAGCCAAGTTCACCAAAAAAGTTCAAATCGATCCTTACTTGGAGGATGCATTGTGTTCTGTATGTGGTGTACAACATGGACCATATTATTGCAGGGAACTTTCATGCTTCAGGTATTAAACTCTTTTATATTAAAAACTATTAAAATTACAATTAAAAAGTAATGAAAAATTAAACTAAATAATAACTAAATTTTTTATTGTTGATTTAGATATTTTTGTCGTACTTGTTGGCAATGGCAGCATACTATGGAGGGCGCTGAAAGTCACAAGCCATTGACTAGAAATTCAAAATCTCAAACATTGGTGGGCATAGGCCCTTCAACCTCCACGTCACTGTGCTCATACAATACTACAATTCCGCAGCAACAACAACAACAACAAAAACAATCAAATCTATTGAACCAAGATCAAAATATTTTTTATCAAAACCAAATAGATTATTCGAAAACTGATACGAAATGAATAACTATAAAACACTCTCTTTGCCTTGTTTAACATTGATTGTTACGGTAGTAAATATAAATAATAATATTTATATAGTTTAGTTATATATATATATTTTTTTTTTGAATAATTTTGTTTTTATAAAAATTATAGCAATATTTCTCAACATTTTAAAAATTGTTATGCTATGATTTTTACAAATTATATCAAAGATTGTTAGTTATTATGTGTACTTCATGATAATATTATGAATATGTTAATTTATTTTAAAATATTTATTGAAAAACAGAAACGTACAAAACCCAGCTAAGTTGATCATATTTTGAAAAATTTGTATGACGTAATAAAAACATTAATTCATATTAGTGGTTTATTATGTATATGTGTGGACACATGCATACACATTACGGGTGTATATACATATGTAATACATATTATATTATATATTATGTATATATATAAGTGTAGTTATATGTGTTAACATTGTCTAATAATGCTAATAATTCGAAATATTTAATTTCTACTTATATAGCGAATATTATTAAAAATGAATTTTTTTATTTATTTATATTTTAAAAGAAATTTCAATTTTTTATAACATAAAAAGTTGTATATTTTCGTTTAAATATTGCTAAATTGTAATTATATATAATATTATGTTGTATTCAATTTGTTAGTATTTGTAAAGTAAAAAAAAAATTTTTATGTTTTCAAGTAACTACTAATTATGCTTAAAAAAGGTTTAAAACACATTTAATTTTTAATACTTTGTATATATATTTTACGTTTTTGCACACAAAAGTTTGTGTTTTATAATTTTTGTTTCACATGTGTAAATAAATTTTTACGTTCGCCAATTGGCATATATCAAAAAATATTTTTGAAATTTATTTTGTTTTATTTTTTTCATTTATAAATGATTAACAATTATTATAAATTGAATATTTGCACATAAGAGTTTGTCACTTGTGTAAATAAATTTTTAAGTTTGCCATATGGCATATATCAAAAAAAAATTTTTTTAATTTATTTTGTTTTTTTTTTTCACTTATTTATAATTGAATAATAACATTTATAATTTAGAAAAAATATTAGTATGAATAATCAAAGAGCTCTAAAGCAAAGAAAAACTCATTTTATTTTATAAATCTATTCTAGTAGATTTTTTATATAGCAAATATGCAATTCACTTTTTTATTATTAATCTCAATTTTTTTTTCTTTCTAATTTAAAATTATCTTTTCGTTTTAAATGTTTGAAAGCCATTTAATTTAATATTTTTATATAGATTTTAAATTACTATTTATAGTTATGGAATTGGTCTATATGTGTTCCTCCCCTATATATTAAAATTTTTTTTGAAAGTTACTTCTAAAATATATGTTTTAAATAACAGATAGAATTCCTTTGTTTCAATGGAATAACACTATAATATTTTAAATTTATCTTTTATACATTATGTTTACCTTAACAAATTTAAATGCTATAAATTATTATATATTCTGTTTTTACAAATTAAATTTGTTGTACTTTGAGTATACCTACAGGGATTTTATGGTAGTTAATTGAAATTTTATTGTAGTTAATATTATATTGAGAAAATTATAACAGATATAAAAATATATATGGCCAATGTATTTATTATATTTATATATAAATATAATTATATTATATATATATATATATAATATTTATATATATATAAATATAACTATCGCCTCTCAAATCGGTTTCTTCATAATTTGAATAGCAATTTTTAAGTTTTTCAATTAAAATATGAAAAACAAAGAAATAAAATCTATTCTTTGAATTTCATGAAATATAGAATTACATAGAAATACATAGAATAAAAAATTTGATTCTTATATTGCTCAATCATCACTATGTTTATGACAGTATCAATTAAATGAGTATGCTTCAACGATAATATACTTATAAAATATTAATATTATATTTTAGTATTCTGAATTGAATTTAAATTAAGAAATAAATTAAGATATATTATTATCAGAATCACTATAATTATCAATGAAGTAAAGAAGAATCTATGTTGCATTGATAATTTTTATCAAACTCGCTTTAATGAAAATTTTAAAACAGTTATTAGTAAAAAACGAGTATAAATAAATATAAATGTACTCATATACATATTTATACATATATATATATAAACTTATATAATTATAAACATATATAAGTAATGTATAAATTTACACAAAAGTATTCAATCATTTATACATATACATATATTTAATTAATTATAGGAAAAAGAATACATTATGGTGCTTTAGCTAAATTATATATATAAGATTTTCATATAAACGAAACTATAGTATGATTTTAAAAATGAAAAATAAGTTTATATGAATATATGAGTGTTGATTGAATGTGTGAAGAGTGTTAGATTATATAAAAATTTTAAACAGAAATTGTTAAAAATTAGAAGTGTATAATCAAATAATATATACAATATATAAGCATTTCTACATAATATAAATATAAACATGTGTATATATATATATACATATGTATATAAATGCATTTAGGAATTATAAAACATATAATTGTATAAGAATAGTGTTAAGTATATTTAACAAATCCAAACGTTTGGGTCTAATTGTGAAATAATTATTTTTATTATTATTATTTATTAAAAAATAGTGTATAAAAATAATATTTAAGCTATGCTTATTTTTCTTCTGTAGTTGTTTTATTTTTGCTACGAATTTTGTTGTTTTTTTTAAGATACAAACAGCTAATCCAAGTGTTGATTTAGTACGGTGCTTTATATAGTAACATTAAGAGCACTGTCTTGAAAATTATCTTACACCTATTTCTAATATATTGTCATTTTTCACACAAATAGTTATGCAAAAATATTATTTAATTTTTCTGAGATTGCTTAATTTGTGAAAATCGATTAGATTAAAAACAATATAATATAAGTTCGCATCGAATTCAGTATTTCATAAAAGTTTTCCAAATACCGAGCTAAGCTGGTACAATCCACAATCCTAATTTTTAGGGGTTGACTTTCAAGTTGCATGTCGGCCTTTAAGTTCTTCTTAGTGCTGTCTTTAGCTGTTTGTTGTGAACAGAAAAAACTCATAATTACATACCATGCTCTTTTATATACTATACTAATGTAAAATAAAAGTTTGATCATACTATTTTGTTATTCAGACTGCAGTTTTTGCTTTAAAGATTTAAAATATTTCAGATAAGCTAAAATCAACACAATAATATGCATAAAATATTTTCGAATAGAGTTTTTAGGTTTATTACTTATTATTTTTTTGCGGTTTCACGAAAAATGATTCTTTTAAAATCACTTATATATTAAACAATATATATGGTATTCACGATATCATGTAATGAACTTTATAACTGAGTAATATGATAACAGCACAGAGCTCACACGCGAAATCGTGAATACCCCTATATCAGTATGTCAGAAAAGTTATGCTATCGGGAAAATATTTTACATTTGTCTAGCGATATGTTTTTCTTTCGCTTTTATTAATATTACCAATTCAAAAATCTTTTGTTTATGCAATTACTAAATTAATAAAAACCATATAATATGCCACAAAGACCCAAACCGTAATAAAGTACCTTTCAAATCATAGATTTTCGAAGTTATTAAAAAAATGGAAATACGAGTAATAAACAATTCATGCATGCGAAAATATTTTTAATGGAAATTTTTAAATATAATTACAGAAGAAGCTTCCAAGTTTTCGATGTTTAATAATAAATTAAATAATTAAATTTATGATAATGAAAAGTTACTTCCTATATTTAAACAAAGATAAAAAAATATAAAATCTAATACTGTTTATCTTTTTCTACTTTGAGCAGTATTGGAAAAAAAATGGATGATGTTCATAACCAAAGTCTTAATATTATGTATTTTGCATAAAATTTTAACAAATTTTTAAATTTTATAAACATTGGTTATTCAAATATTTCACTACATATATAAAAACAAACAGAACTTAACTTTTATATCGATCGAAAATATTTATTTTAAAGTTAATACTTTTAAAAAATTAACACTTTTTACAAAAATTTTATCGGACTATAAAACTTTGGATATTCATTTTTAAATTGAATGATACATTTAGTCAAAAATTATTATAAAAATATATTATAAATATTTATATACGAGTACATATTTTTTAAACTAAATATATATACATATATATGCGTATTGAAAATGACCAAATAAATAACTAAATCTGATATAAATCTATATATATATAAAATTTATTTAAAATGCTTTTTAAATAAATATATATATATACATTAATAGATAAACACCAATATCAAACACGCTTCCTTTATAAAAAAATACATTAAATATAAGTGATTAAAGTATTATATAGTCAAGAAAACTTACCTATTATCTTCCCGATTTCTTTTATAAAATTACTATATAAAAGCTTAAGAGTATACCTTATAACTATTTCTATTTTAACAAATTATATTATTACAATTTTCCTCTTGTGCTTTTAAGTCAACCCTTAAATGCTGTTAATTATTGGGAACATACTCATATATTGTAATTATAATATGCAATAAAAAAATTAGATTAAGGTTGCCGTAAACAAACAACACAAAAATCTCATGTGAATTAATATGTTAAACTAAAAATTTTATTAGTTAAATAATAAAATGTACTAGCATAAATATAAAGAGCAAAACCTCTAGCCCAAATTCAAATAGATTTCGATCGAAAGAACTGGATATTGACGTATATGAGCATTTTCAGATTAAATTCAGCTGTTTTCAAATTGAACCAAAACATTTTTAAATTAAGACAAATGCTTTTTAACTAAAACGAAAGGATTTTATATACAAAAACAAAAAAAAACAATTTTTATAAAAAAATATATATATAAAATTTTAAAATTGAAGCAATAAGTTGTTTTAGTTTCATTAAATTAATATTCCATACACAATCTAAAACAATTTTATACTTAAACTATAAAAAATAAAACAAATTAAATAAATTTTATAATACACATGATATTAATTGAATGATAATGTATTTTTAAATTTTGATATTTTAAAATTATAATAATATAATATTACATTATAATGTATTATAATATTATATTATAATGTATTATAATATTATATTATTATAATATTATAATTTTATAAAAATTTGTTTTGTTTATATTGATTGATTATTTCGAAATTTAAACTGAATTTATTTAAGCAATAATTTATGATGGGCACATATTCCATAACCGGATACGACCATTTGCTTATATTAAACATTGGTGAATTTTTTTTTGGCAGTTATCAAAATGGCCGATTAATGTACTCAAATTTGCGTTTAATTTTATTGTCAATTATCCGTGCAACGAGTTAAATACATATTAACTATCCATCAATCAATTGATAATAATTATTTATTTAAAAAAAAATTTAGTAATTTTGGGTTCAGAATCGTTCTATTTTAAAACAGTTCAATTTAATAAAAATGCTAAAAACTCAAAATAAAAGTACTTAAATTATAGTTAATATTAAGGAATAAAAATGTTAAAAAATTATATAATTAATCATAGAACTAAAATATTCTAATTGTTTTCCCACCTTATACTGCAGAGTGCCATTTTAAAATAGCTTCCGATAAGTGCATAGTTCATAAATACGTTACGTATTAATACAAACTTACATTTATACAAAAATATATTATATATATAACATATAAATATGTATAAAAATATAAAGAAATATTAATAATTATATATATAATTAATTATATATAATTAATTTATAAATATATTATAATATATAATAACTATAGAGAAAATCAAAAAGTTAAAATTTCATTATATATATATAAAATATATTTATAATTAAACGATAATATATAATCGATATCGATAATAATTAAGTTCAAATATTTATGAAATCGTAAAGATTTTTTTGTTTGTTTCAAAACTATGAACCTTTTTTTTGGTTTAGATGTGGTTTTTCACCATATGAAGATAAATGATTTACTATATTTGGAAAAATATTTCAATGAGTGGTGATAACGCGATAACTCTTGGTACGAACGATAACTTTCGATAACTCTTTGAATGTAAAAAGCTCATTCAATTTAGAAAAATGCAATTCTTGAATGGTTTAAAAATTAATATTGATTATTTTAGTGAAATTACTTTTTTTATATATATTTTTGTTTTTCTGTCACTTTCTGACTACGCCAAAGACTCTTGGCATCTAATAAAGCGGATAACAGTGGTAATAAATAAATCTTTTGTGCTAATAATTGACACTAAACTAACATCAGACAGACAATCAGCCTTTAAATAAAGCTCAAAGGATTCGTGGTTGGAGAGATCCTAAAATACGACGGGCATAAAAGCTTTCCGCACACGTTTCTTTTCGTGATCTAGATCAAAGAATTTAAATAGAAGTTTCTCTCCTTTTGTAGGGAGCAAAGACTTTCAATTAGATATTAGTGCAAGCTTTAATGAATCGTCAGGTCAACTACCAATAAACTGAGCTCTGTCCTTTAGAAGATACTTTCACTATATTAAACTAATTTATATCGATTTGAATTTATAATTACTTCGGCAAAATTTAAAATATCCGAATAACATTTCCAATTTTACTAAATATTATTTTTGAAATAAAATTTTTGTAAATTGCAGTATCAACTAATGCTCAAGTGTAGATTATTAAACTCTGTAAAGCTAAATTTTTTCTTAGACAACTTTGTCATTATATATGAGGATATAAAAAAATACGTGCCTAGATAATAAAATGAATTTATATAAGTGGTATTCAGACTCTGAACTCGGTAACTCGTCAACTGTTCAGCGGTTACATATAATTAGTTATAAAAAAAAAAATAACTGCATGCAATCAAATTATATATAAAACTTAACTAAATGTCGAATTACAAAGTTATTAGTCTGGATACAGTTTTAGTATCCAGTAGAAACTTAGTCTCTACAGTGATCTAATTTTTTTGAAGACATATTTACAATGACGTTAAATAATATCATTTTAAATTAGTAAATTTAATACTGAACTGCTTCTACTCGTATCACTTGAAAATTACTCATCTAACTTGTCTATTCACAATTAGAATAGAAATTGAAATATATATTTTATCGACTACCACCAAACTTTTATATTTAATACTTTTAATTTTTTCTTTTTAACGGAAATAAAAATTTTAACATAACTAATATATTTAGTTATTTACTAAGCCATTTCTATTTCCATTTTTAATAAGTGTATTAATATATCTATTTTAAGTTCTATTTCTATTCAATTAATAAAATTGCTTACATTATAAATGGTAATTATTGTTGAAACATTTTTATGCAAAATTTATTGTTATCAAATTAAGTTAAATTATATAAAAAAACTAATCTAATTAAAGTACATATATATTTTATATATATTTATATATATAATAGCATATACAAAAAATTCTTAAATATTATTAAATCATAGATAGGAATAAAAAATAATATAGATTAACTCACTCATTAATAAGCGATATTTTTACAATAGCAAATACTTATACTGTTAAGATCTTATGTAGGAATGACATAAGTTTTTAAAATACAAATTGCAACATAATTAATAAAAAAAATAATAAAAATAATAAGAATACAATATAATGTAACAAACTATACGAAAAAACGAATCAAACAAATTGAGCTTATACAAAGCAGTTGTATACTAATCAAACTCTATATTTATTCGCAGATAAAGCAAATATCCAGCTATAAAAGAATGTTATAGTAATTAAATTGATATCATAAATGATTATTTGCAAAAAAAAAAAATGGTAATCAGTATCTATATATTGATATAAAATCAAGAATGCATTCGAATACAACATTCTTTAATACGATCCAAAATGAAAATGACAATACGTATATATGAGCCTATATGATAAGTTCTTGTAAGAAACTTCAAAATTTAATATCAATAATAAAATATATATACCAACTATCAAATCAAAAAAAAATCTTTCATTTAAATATTTGCAATACAATAAAATTACTAAGCTGTAATCTTCTCTTAATGGATTATAAAGAGACACTGTTTTAGTACTGTTTCATATATAGATATGTTCGTTAAGAAATTCGAATAAAAATTAAATTAGATATAAATTTTTCTCCCTAAGTATTAAGCCTATCTACTCTCATCTAGTTCCCTTAATTACTGGAATGAAGTTTTCACATTGCTGTGGAAATCTTCTCCATTGATTCTTAAGAGGTGGGTTTTAGTGGGTTCAAGTCTCATTTTGTCTCGCAAAAATATAACCCGTTGTAACAAAATTTCTAATTACTTTCGGAATTTGTTCAATTACTAATTTCAACCGAAATCGTTTAGTCACACAAGATACTTGTACAAGATAAAGATACTTGTATTTAAAAAAAAAAAACAAGAAGAAAAGTATTACATCCCTTCAAGATGTAATACAATAAACACTATATTATTCATAATCTAATAATCAATAAATTGAAAATCAATAAAATTAATTTTTACAGTGAAATAAAATTGAATATATATTTCATTATAATATTTTTGACATAATTTATTATATAAATTATTTTGGAACTTAATATTATTTTTTTTTTTTTTTTTTAAACTTGTAATTGCACAGTAACTTGCAGATCTAACACTTTACATTTACAGCAACAAAATCAACAATTTTATAAAACTAATTCTGATAAAAAATTTGAACGAAAATTTATTTATTTAATTTTCGTTTTGCAAATATTTGATAAATGCCTAACAACGCACTAGTCGTTCCAACAGCTCCAACTTGAAATGTTGATAATTTGCCACCCCATAGAAATCCTTTAGGCAAAGTGCTCACAGCATGAACAAAATCTAGACTTAGTCGAAGTATGGAAAGCATCTCAATCCTGTGTTTCTTAATCGCTTTCTCATATGCATCGAGTCTAAAAAAGAATGGGAAAGAAAAAATGATACATATATTATATTATATGTTTAATATTATATTATTTAATGTTTTAATGATTCAAATTTAATAACAATTTAATTCATAGTTTTAAGGATGTCAATACTTTCTTTTAGTAGTTAAGTAGTTTTAGTAGTTTTAGGGAATTTGTGTAGAATCACAATACTTAGCAAATGTTATATATTGAATTTACAGTTTATATACTTATAAAGTTATTACTAACTTACATACATTTATACATTATCTTAGTTTTAATATGAAATATAATTAGCTGCTTATAAAAAATATTTTTTATATTTTTTAAACTATATTTTAAACGAAATAAAAAAAAAATTATTTTTTCAGAAATATATTTTAAACATATATTTAAAAAAAAAACAGTTTTCTAAAAATATCCCTAACTTTCTTTATTGTAAATGTCATATTTGGATTTGTTTATAATTTCATTTTACCTTTTTACATCTACAGCATTTAATTTTTGTTGATTTAAAGAGAAGGCTCGTAATGTTCTACAAAAATAATCAAATTCAAAAATTTATAAAAATTAAATACTATTTGATGATTCAAGGCTTTACACTTACCTCATAAGATTCAGATGTACTGAAAGCACCCAAAACACAGAATTGAGTACATCCCACTTATCGGAATTTTTTATTTTCACTATATCATGTTCTGATAGCCAACAAATTTTTTCGATTGGATAATATAGAATATCAACAATATTAGCTGTCACGCCCAAAACTGCCATTAATAAATCCGGTTCCTAGTTTAGAAATGCATATGTAATATATACGCCTTTTTACGAAAATTTATCTTACATTTCTTCCCAAACCATATTCCTTAGCGTACTGAATCATGGATATATCATCTATAAGTCGTAATGTAGCACGCGCTCCTGATATGCGAGAACTTATAATACCATATGGTTTTGATAATGTCGAGTTTTTGCTCGCATAATAGCCTGATACCAGCTTTGCACTGTAACATAGTGCTTTCATTACCTAAAATTTATTATACAATATTTATTAAGTTCTACTGTACTAAAATTGTTAATAAAAGATGGGAAGACTTAACAATATGCAAGCACCTGTATGCAATCTGACTACGTTCCGATAGAAGGATATCCAAAATTCTCATTGAAATACCTCGTAGAGATAATAGCCTTTTGGTAGGTTTACTTACAGGTCACTGTAAACTAGGGAAACATGCTAAAAGATTAGGTCTCCCTTTGAATCAAATCTGTCGCAACTGTGAGGAAGACGATAAGTGTGGCTCTAATCTACTATGTTTTTGCTCAGCTCATGCACGGCGGCGACTTAATACCCACTCTTTGGGATCTTGATCTATTCCTAACCTGACACTAAATAGCATTTTAGGCTTCGCTAAAGGCTCTAGATGGTTTTAAACCCCGAATTTTTTCTAATTATACGGTAACATAATGGGCCAATAGACCTAAGTGAAATCAACAGGGATCGCTAGTATAACCTAACCTATTAAGTTTTAATTAGTAATACATAAATTGCAGAGACTTCAATTTCTGACGACCAATCAATATAATCACAAAAATACTGATGTTAGATATATGGTGGTATCCGAAACAGCTTTATGGTCAACCCAAGAATTAAATATTATTTAATTAAAAGTTAAAAATATGTTTTGTCTTTAAAAACTTCCCTATTACCCTCTTTTCTAGTAGAAATAGATTTCTTGTCATAGGATAAAAATATTTTTTAAATAAAATTTTTTGTATAAACAATGAATTAAATTGTTTTATGAGGTTTTCTAGAATAATTTAAAGGTATTATCATAATTTTATTCTATTCTTGTGAAATATATTACATATTCTGTCGACACTTTATTATGTTGAGGCTAGTTCAGTCAGTGCACTTGAGCACTTTTACTCTCTGTTAACTGCGAAGTTTCTTCATAACCCCTCTCAACACCTTGACTGGATTATTGTTTATCACTTCATTAGACTAAGCAATAACTGACCTCAGATCTGCATACCTCCTCGAGGAGCCGGTAACCATTCAGAGATTCGATAATGCGGTGTTGGTAAGCCTGTCAGTTTTCGTAAATAATGTCATTCATCCTAACGTACCATGGTACCTTGAAAAGTCTTCTCAGAGCCTGCCAGTTTTCGTAAATAATTTCATTCATCCAAGGTACCATGGTACCTTGAAAAGTCTTCTCAGAGTTTTGTGCAATTTTTAACTGGCGAATAGTAGAGTTTGAAGCCTAGCTGAACGCTACACATCCATATAGAAGTGACGGTCGAAATTTTTAGTTATATATCAAAGTAAAAGAATTTACTTTACAAACGATATCAATACAATTTAAAGCAATTTACTCGTATATCTGGTATTTAAATTTAAGAGCGTTATTTTTAGAATTCAACGAAAACTTATTGTTGCCGTTACGTGGGTATATGTAGTTATTGTTATTATTGCTCTAATGTTTATTTATGTATGCGATAAGAGTAAATATCAAAGTTATCTAAGAAGTTTTTTTTATTTTTATAAGATATTAGAAGTTTGAATAAAGATTTTTATAAAAATAGAAGATATTGATACAGGGAAATATCTGATGAGTGTATATCGATTTTAAGTTTAATTTCTATCAAGTCTCAAAAATCCTTATAGGTTTCAGTAATGACAGGAATTGCGTAGTAGCTGTACATTTTTACCATTTCATCATCCGAGATCAGATAAATTTGTTATTTAGGAAGAAGCATGATTCTAATTCCTTAAAGTAACTGCGAGTTATAATTTAGTAATTAATTAAAATAGCTAATAAAAGCGATTATACTATGCACGGCTATACATTTATTTAACATAATGTATAATGCGTAAAGATGAAGCATAAAGTAAAACCAATGAATGATTGTTTAACATTCATAATCATTTATAAAAATGTATTTAATTAACAAATACAATGAGTGAAAGGTGTTTATTTAATAGTGTTTGCAATTACTTTAAATTTGTTGCTATGGGATACAAGGTAAAACTTGCTTTGACCTTTAAACAGTCGACAAAGGCAGATTGGTAAAAGATAATTGATTCATGTAGCGATATATTCAATATATATCGGGTATTAAAGTAAATCAATTATTATTGTAAGTGTATATTAATTTTTTAAACTCACTCTTTAATATTGAGTTACTTAATATTTGGTTGTAATATTTATTAAATATTATTAGTTACTATTTTTGTTATCTTTTATGTGAAACATATTTGAGAGTATAATATAATTAATATGAAATACATTTTTATATGCTTATAGCAGTTTATTTATCATATCAGCTAGTTTGGTCAGTAACTTTCAACCAAAGTAGAAGAAACCTGTTGGGCCACATTAGACACGACTAAAGTCAAGTACAACATTTTTCTATCTTAAGGCAATTCATATCTTAACTCAAAGAAATAATTAAAAATATTCATAACTTTATTAAACCCATTTCTTTAATGGTAGTACGCACCTTATCTCTTCCACCATAGGTATCAATTATTTCACAAAACTCATTCAATTTATCTGACATACTTCTTGTTAATCAAGTTATTTTTGTCTTTTAACAATTTCCTACAATACTCAACTGCTATCTAAATTAACCACATCACAATGAAGTGCAAATGTAAACAAATAAGTAGTTATAAACAACTTAAACGTCAAAAACAGCTGAGCTTCAGTGTTGTAAAACAACATTTGTACATATATTTTCAATAAATTCAAAATGTTTGAAGACATATTCGCATTTATTAAACTTTATTTAAACAACAAAATTTCAAAAATTCAGTAGGGTCATTATATGTAGTCACAGTTACACCCACGTTCTATCTTCGCGTTTTGTGCATGTGATGTTTTGGTTTGTTATGATTGCAGTCACGTCAGGAATGCTACGTCACGTACTCAGCGTTGCAAAATTTTAACACTATTTTATTAACTTTTAGGAAAAAGTACGTTGTTTGATTAAAGGAATTATAGATTAAGTATATCTGCATTTTTATTCTACACCGTTTACTTTGGACATTGGAGATTTCTTTTGACAATTCTTTTATTTTGCTTCTTTAATGTTTGAAAAAATTATGAAGAATTTTTAAATACATAATGAGTGGACAAAATGTTTCAAATAAAAATATATCTGTAAAAGGATACTATTTATTCAATAAAATATATTTAAGTGCATGCAGTTTCCGAAATTATGTATTAGGTATAATTTTTAATTTTAAATTATTACATTTTTTTAAAAAATGTTAACGTTTCTAATAGTATGTTTATTATTCCATCAATTCCATCAATTGGTAAGAATATTTTTTTTTACATGATTGTGAATAAAATATGAATTTTTATGCCTTTTAATAGTAAAATAAAAAATAGAAAAAGTAACGTATTTGTTACGAACAATGACGACATAAAATATGAATAATTAACGAAATCATTCGTTGACAGTGAACTGGAAATTTTATATGTACTTCCAAAAATCGTTCACAATAGACGAGTTCTTGTCTTGGCAACCATGCGATTTGAGCTGCTTATTAGTTAAGCGGTTTTGAAAATGTTAGACTAAATAAGCCAGAAGTGTTGTTGTTTCATATGTTATTTTTAAAATAAGCAGTTGTTCTTTTATGATATACTTACAAAAGAAAAGGCCTAATGTATGTCTCAATTTTAGTTACATTTTTATTTCGGTTTCGATAACTAGCAACAAATATTGGTGCATTTTTATGTTGAAATAATGTTAATACATCTTTTTAGGTATAACAATAAATTAATTTTCTTATTATAATTAATAATGAAATAATTTAATTTTAACTTTTTTAATTTTCTCATTGTTTTCAATGCATAAAATATTATAGTTAGTAATAGTTCAATGATTTAAAACAGAATAAATTTATATTGATACGCACTAAAATCGATCAAAAATGAAAATAAACAAATCTATTGAAAACTTAAAATATTTTGATTTCTACATATGTGACATGATTAAAATTTTACAGCATTACGCACTAAATCGGCAACCGAGTATGATATGTAATTCTTCTTAAAGTGTATTTCGTAAACTCAATTCTCGAAGATTTAATACATTTATTCATCTCATTTAGTTACCGATAAGTGACGCATATCAATGTCCACAAAGAGAATAGAATAAAGGTGACATATCATCAACTCAACTACCAACACAACAAACACTTGTCGAACATATTTGAAAATTTCACGAAGTAGTATTTACGGCTTGTGTGAGTATTTTAATTGTGTATTAATACAGCTGTTATATAACCAAGTAATTTGACTGTCACTTCTATATAGATGTGTAGCGTTCCGCTAGGTTTCAAACTCTACTATTCGCCAGTTAAAAATTGCACAACACCAGGCTCTGAGAATACTTTTGAAGGTATTATGGTACATTGGGACGAATGACATCCTCCGGGACCTCAAGATTGATTCCACCAAAAAATATATAAAGGATGGAGCCCTGAAATTATTCACGAAAACTGACAGGCTTACAAACAACGTGTTCTCGAATCTCAGAATGGTTATCGGCTACTCGAGGAGGTATGCAGATCTGAGGTCAGTTATTGCTTAGTCTGAAGAAGTGATAAACAATAATTCAGTCAAGTCGTAGAGAGGGATAATGAAGAAACCTTTCCTTAATAGAGAGTAAATGTGCTCAATTGCACTGACTTAAAAAGCCTCAACATAATGATACGACAATACATTAAGTATTTTAGCTGCTTGACAAACAATTACATGGTTTGAATGCATGTATGAGAATGGAAACGGAGTATTAATTTAATAAGACATCATCTGTGTTTAAGCGATTTTTCGGTAGATGTTTTAATAGTTAAATAGTTTTAAAAGTTATTTTTTTAAAGTACATAATTGGTTTGATATTTATTAGTCGTAATATTTGAAAATGTCAAGCAAGAAGACTACGCCTACCGGTAGCAGCAGTAGTGGTACTAAACCAAAGAAGTCAAAAACTGATTTTTATCGTTCATCAATTGGAAATTATTTAAAACAAAAAAATTATTTGGTGAGTTTTAATATAAGGTTTACTAATATCGTATATTTAAAATATGCTACTTCTTTCAGGGAAGCGAAAAATTTCGTAAATCGGAATTTGTTTTAACACAAAACAAAAATGATTTTATATTGCAAAAAATGGTGGAAGGAGATTTAAGTAGTAGCGATTCTTATACTTTTTCAAATGTCCTTTGTATTACAAATAATTATCAAATGGCGGAGCAACAGTTTGGAAGGTAATTTTTTATTATGATATAATTTATAATCCACAATGTACAAGAAACAAGTAAAGGTTTTCGCAGTTCGTTGAAGCGGAAAAAGATGAACATAAATTAGAGTTAAGAAGATTCTATGGACCATTAATATGCCATCTGTATATTGAATTGATAAAGGCTCGAGAATCAAATGCAGCTGCGGATTTCTTAAAAAAATATGCAAATTTAATTGCACCTGTTGAACAAAGTGACACGGTTTTAAACAATATAAACAGTTCTGTACCAGTGGAGTCGTGTGTAGAATCCACGAATGCTTCACGCAATAATATAAAATTCGTACAAGACGTCGATTTTGAAAAACCGCTTGAGTTACAGTATTTTATAAAGCTTATAGAAACTCTATCGGCATGCACAACTTCGGAGGAAATTTTATCTGATGTAGATGTAGTCCATTTCCTTTCAACAAAGTATGAAATTCACACCACACAAAATGTAGTTGATGCGCTAAATAGTTATTTAAAAACGAAAGGGCATGTACTAATACTAAATATTATATGTATGTATGTACACATAAATATAGTTGAAAATGAGGCTAGAAATTGGACTGGCGATCAACTCAAAGTAGGCTTTAATGAAGAAGATTTAAGTGATGATGAATTAGAAGAGTTAACTGCGAAAACTATTACACTTTCTGAAGACGATATATTTAAGAAGCCTCTTCCAGTATTTTTGAAGTCTTCGCAATCTGCAAAATCAGCAACCAAAACTAGAGAAACAAAACAGAATCGACTTCAAGCAGTACGACAATGTTTACAAGTTGTAAAAACTATCCGAAAATCAATTACTGAGAATCAAGCAATTCTTCCAGAATATATTAAAATTGCTGATAGAGATAAAGGGTAAATAATTACACATCCAATAATAATTATTACAAAAAGATATAAATTATATTTACAGATTGACATCAAGTGATATTGACATGAATCGATGTCATCTAATAGCGGGATTTAATAGCTCTGAAGTGAATTTGTGGCAAATGAATCAACAAACATGCAGAGGCAAAAGTATGTACCGGCGTATTACAGATCGTACATGTTGTTGGGAAATAAACAATTGTTATGAAGAGGAAGATGATGAAATTGATTTAGATATAAAGCGAGAAGAAAGTACAAAACGAAACTTAGAACAAGAAAAATTTTATGAATCAAAATATGCCGGCAACTCATAGTAACCGCAAATTTGAATTAAACTAATTATACATGATGTAATACTTTTGTTTATTTAGTAATCAATATGGAGGAATTCAATTACGTGGTCATGGAAAAGGTGTGACGGATGTGCGGTTTTCAAGACACTATCCGTTGATATATAGTGCATCCAAGGATTGCACAGTTCGTACTTGGAGAGCGGATAATTACTCGTGTGCTTCAGTGTACCATGGTCATAATTATCCCATTTGGTGCTTAGATGAAAGTCCTATAGATACATATATTGCAACGGGTTCTAAAGATAATACTGCCCGTTTATGGTCTACAGAACGAACAAATCCTCTCATTACTTATATCGGCCATACACAAGATGTAGAAGTAAGTAACAGTTTTTTAAGTTAAATGAGGTATTCAAAAAGTTCAATATTCTATAAGATCTAGTTATCTTCTATCTTATGTTAGACGCATTTTACACAAACCACAACGTAGTAATTGTTGTTTTATTTATCCATCTATTATTTTAGAAAAACATTGTAAAAAATAACCAAATCGGATTAGTTCTATTAATGTATATTTATAAATTAATATAATTTTTTTAATATATATAAGCTGTACATACGTAAAATAAATTTATAATAGGGTAGGATACTTATGTAAAAATTTAGAAATTAATGACTGCTCATTTATAAACTGATTGGTTCATACTATATAATTGGTTTTTCTTACTCTATAACAATATAAAATAAAATTCGTTAATTTTAAGCGAATATGTAAACGACTTCACGATTTTATATTCTGTAAGCCTGAAGAATATCAATGACTGGGTAGTAATAAAAAGCATTATCGTATTCTAAAAAATGTTTAATGTTGATTTTGAAAAGCACTAACAAATTTTATTGATAATAAACTACTTTGACTTAAGCATAAATATAGATGTAATAAACAGGCAGCATTTTATCATTTTCATTTTAGCCGAAATCTCTAACATTAGATGAACCCTCGGAACTTTACTTAATATTGTACCATAAAAATAAATGTATAGTATTTAAGTAATCATAATCATAATTTAAGTAACTCATAATTTATTCTTTTAATTTACTAAGGATAAATAAAACTTAATGACAATTATATATTTTTTGATTTTTAGTGTGTTGCTTTTCATCCCAACGGCAATTATATTGCTACCGGTTCATGTGATTTATCCGTACGACTGTGGTGCGTCACAAGCGGAAAATTAATGCGAGTATTTTCTGACTGCAAACAAGCCGTGACAACTGTGACTTTTAGTCCAGATGGTAAAATGTTAGCCGCTGCCGGGGAAGAGACAAAAATACGAATTTTTGATTTAGCAGCCGGATCACAAATTTGTGAACTTAAGGACCACACAGCTGGCGTCACCGGCATGGTGTGGACCAATAACGGCACACAATTCGCATCTGTGTGTCGAGATGGTAGTTTTCGATTATGGGATATTAAAAGACTATTATTAAATCAGTAAGTATAATCAGAGATAACTAAATCACTTAGATGTCCAAACTAGTACAAATTTTTTGAATATTATTTTTTTGTCTGGAGTTTTTATGCCTGAAGTCACCAAGTCTTTGAACAACTTGCGAGAGTTTTTCTCCACAGATTTTATAAAAGAGAATGGTTTGTTGTTGTGTATCACAATGATACAAAATAAAGTTTCTTTTTTGACCTGCTTTTAATGGTCAAAATCGAAAACAAAAAAAAATAAATTAAATCTTTTTAAAAAGTGTGAATAAGTTAATGCTTACTTTGGACATCTATTATATTATGATATTATGATTCAGTTATGTTCATAGCTTTAATATCTCCAATTATATTTTAATTAATTTATTACAATAAGGGAACCCAGTACATCAGCTGCAGCTTCATCCGCATCATCAAATATTCGTCTACAAAGGTTAAATTATAATTGTGGACGTTTCGTAAACATAAAAGTAGTTCAGGATGGTACTATTTGTTGTCTGGGTACCTAAATACAAATATTACTGTGATGTGATATATTTGTAAATTCTTTTTTAAATTTAACTATCTCATTTTATATATAAGTATTATATTACACATGTTTATTATTTGTTTAATATAAATTATAAAATTAGTTTATAGGAATTGTTTATATGTATAAGACTTAAATGCATGCATCTCCGAATAAAGTGTCACATATAATTTAATTAACTAATTTTTTTTTAATTATTTCACCAATTTCTATAAAGGTGCAATCTTTTTATCAAGTTTTATTTATATTTATTTTAAGATTTTACAAATCTCTACAAACTTCACGCTTTTGTACAATTTTCAAAAGTTTCAAAAGCGCTTAAGGTAACTAACTAGTTTTTTTTGATTACTACTTAACATTTAATTATTACTGTCTGAGTATATTCTACTTCTTGTGGATTTTTAAAAATCATATATTAATTAACTTTGTAGGATATAAAGACAAATTTAAATTTGTTTGACTTAATACGTCACAAAAACTTCCTTTCATTGCAAAGTAGTTAATGTACAGTTTTAAAGCTTGGCTTGCCAATATGCTGCCAAGAATAAGAATATTTACTTTATCTTAAGTAAAAATTGTATTGTGAAGATGAGCATTATAAACTTAATAGCTCCATTGCTTTCATACTTCTACAGGGCAGTTTATTTGGAGTTTTCTTTAAAGATTACTTAAGGAAAAGTATTACAGAAATTGAAACTATCAATTACACTACATATAGTAAGCGTTCCAAGAACGGCTACGGGTCTACGTACCTGAGTCATTCGTCAATTTCGACGACTAAGGTCCGCAAATGGATTTCATAAGCAGATATTTGTCTGTTTGACATTTGTCGTCTTAATGTGTTTTTACCACTAAGAAGCAAGTCCCCGCCAACTTGCTTCTTATGTTACTTCTAATGGCTGGAATTTAATCTAACTCCGATCCTGTTGAATCAACCACTTCTACCTGATCTCCAATTCCCCTCCCATTCCCCCTACAATCATCCATCCATATCGTAATCCATGTATTCATAAAATCTTTGATGTTTACATGCTTTAAGTTTCCGCTAGATTATAACAACAACCTATAATAATAAAATGTGTTTCTAAAGATGAGACCTATGCAGCGGTTTTTATAAGTAAAATTTTTGTGTGTACGTTTTTGTCATTACCAGGAAAAATCGTTATTTTGGGTTTTTTTGTCGCAACTGCGTTTTCAATATACATTTCTGTTTTCAAAGTATGAAGTATTATATATCGGCGAAAAAAATCGTTGTTTTTTAATTATACGGAAGATTTTACTATAGAAACAATAGGTCTAAGAACTATATTATAGTACCTAGATCTGTTTTTACTTAAATCTAAGGTCAATTTGACCGATTCCATATATCTATAATGGTTGAGGTGAAGTTAGTTTTGGGCATTATTAAAATATAGCAAAAACATTCAGTGATAAGTTAAATAAGTACCAATACTAGTTTCTTTTCATCAAAAGCAAGTTTGCTCTTATATATGATAAATTCATTGCAACCTCTTTACTTATCAGATGTTAACTATACTTATGTTCAGAGATACTTACTATCATTCAAATCAATATGATACATTCGTTTAGGTAGATTGTAACAAGAACTAAGTATTGACTTGTACTGAGTGAAGTATGTTGAAGGACACAGTGAGTACAGTATATCCAGGGCAATTAGTAATATATTGTAATAGTGCAATACAAACGTATAACTTTGTCGTTCGTTTGATTAGAAAAACAATCATTTTTTCTTTAAAGTTTTGTATATTATATTTGTGACTATTTACACTCTTACGTTATACATTTAAATTTCAATTAAAAAATAACACAAATTTAAAAATACTAAATAAATAAATGTGATGCTACAATTTTCTTAGTAAAAGTATAAAGATATTTAGCATAATTTTGAAAACAATGTAAACACATAGAATGTATATTAACTTGCATATATAGGACACATTAAAATATATAAAAGCCTTTAAAGTACTAAATGATATTTTTAATTAAAATATTACCGTTTAAGACGTCCACGCATAAATTGTAATGTTTTAGCCATAAGAGGTGCTTTTTTTGGTCGAGCGATTCCAGTAGCTATTTAATATATATATATGTATAAATATATATATAAATGTAAAATTTATTTGTTATATTGTTATATATTTTATAATGGGACACAAACTTACAAACTTGAGCAGTATCTCTTAATCCTCCTGCAACTCGTAAGCGCGAATCTCCAGATTTAGCTGCGTTTGGAGTAACACTTGACAACGCAGCTACACGTGATGCTGGTGTGGCAGTTAGTTTCGATTTGGTTCCATATTGTTCCTGTTTCCGTTGGACATTACGTGGAGGTTTAACCATCGAGTCAACAAAAGCCAGTTGAGTTTTCCTTATAGGGGCAGCAATTATTTTTTGTGATTGTTTAATGCTTTCAGCTAATATACTGAGCTTACGTTCCTGATCCTCTTGGCAGCGCTATAATTATAAAAGATAACAGTTTAAATAAATGCAAGTTTAAAAATATTCGGATGTTTATACACTAAATACATATCCAGTTTTATGATATTTGTAAAAAAATTTGAGGATAAAAGCCAAACAATTTGATTTTTATTTATCTTTTCGTTTTTACCCACAATTTCTAAAATTATATTTTTGTGAACTATATTATAGCCTTCAGTTTTCATATATATTGTTTGAGTAAATACTTTTAATGTGAACATTTGTTAACACAGTTTGTATAATTATGGTAAGGGTACAATAAGAGTCACATTAATTATCGATGCTGAACATTAGATGTATTATCTACGATTTTTATAAAGCAAGAGATATTACATTTGGCATGAAAATTCGATTAGTTAAAAAATTTCAATTCAAAATGTAATTTTTTAAAAATTAACTGCCAATATTGTGCCAAATCTTTTAAAGTTTGTTGTGATTTGGTTAAAATTTATAAATAAGTATTTATATATAATAGAAACAGTGAGTTTCAATAAGAAATGGGATCGCAGCGAATTTTAGATTAAAATTTAAAATTAAAATATATATCCAATTAAAGTATTTCTAATAAAAGTTTTTTTTTAAAAAAGATCCGATATATAACATAAATATTTATATACGTACTAAAAACATTTCTCTCCATGTTTCCATTTCTTGGCGTTTTTGCAAACGATAGCTTCTTTGGCAATGCTGTTGCCATAGAATGTCTGTATCTTCCATTAAATAAGGATTAAAGTCTTCAAATACAAATAATTGCTGTGGTGTGGCGCGTTCCAGTACAGGCCTTAAAACTTCAAATGGAACTCCTCCCGTATATTCAAGAGCTTAAAATAACAAAAAAATTTATTACCGATAAAGAATAAAAATTTAAATAAATTAAATATGTTTAAAACAGTAAACAAATTTTCATATTACCATCAATATGTTTTTGTAATATACGAATGCACAAATCAAAAAGTGTTGGTACTTGGAAAATTTGGCCCGTCTTAACGCCTGAATAAATTTTAGTTCTATATAAAAAAAATTGTAATAGAATCATTAGTAAAAGTGAAAATGAGTTATAGCTAACCTCATTGTTTTAGATGAAATCCCATGAGTGATTGCATCTGCTTCTGATAGAGCATAATTTGTTTGCGCTTTCGAAGCACTAGAATTTGATGTCTTAAACACACAATCCATAACAGTCTGATTAAGAGGCATTGGTTTATAATTCGTAGAAATACTTGTAGTTGGCAATTCCAGAGCTATGTTGGGATCGAGTGGTTCCAATTTTGCACAGGATGATAGTAGATCTGGTTTCTATTAATTTAAGATTATAATATTTTATGTATATCTGCATATAATAAAAACAATTATACTTTATTTGGTGTAGCCTTAGATCCTACTACAGTAGATGATGATAATGATGACGCTTGTGGTTTTTTTGTTTCAATTATATTTTGTTGTCCCCTTTTTTGAGATGATTTTTCAGTAGATGATTTATTTAATGTAAGATTACTTGATGATGCCTTCATAGAGTTATTGATTTTTTTATTTTTTACTGTTGGTACATTCAGCATTCCAAGTACGTCAGCAAAGTTCGCACCCATTGAGGAATCAAAACCGTCGGCAGTATCTTCTTCATCTTCATAATTAGTTTGATTTTCTGTTTTTGCAATTTTCAAATTTGGCTGTTTGACATCTGATTGCTCGTTATCGGTATCGCGATGTCTTTTATGCTTGGAAGCTTTGGAGTCACTAGATTTTATATCCGTAGAATTGGTTTTCTTGCTTGAGTGCTTTGAACTAGAAGAATGCGCATTTCTTTCTTTTCCAGATGAAGAGGAAGACTTATCTTTGTGATGTTCGTCCTTTACAAAAATAAAAAAATTTTTAATTAAAAAAATAATATAATATAAAATATATTTTTTTACCGATTTTAATTTTTTATCACTGTGATGTCTATCAGCTTTTGAAGAATTATTTGGAGTATTTTTTTCTTTATTCAATTTTGCAGTTTTAGTATGTTCACTTTCAGTTTCAGCTTTAGGGGATAAAGGTTGACTTTTGCTTTTACGAGTATTATCTTTATTGGAGTTATCAGTGTTATTAATATGTTTTTGGGTATAACTTTTAGAATTCTGATCTATTGCCTTCTCTGTGTTTTTCTTTCTCCTTTCTTCACTTTCAAAAATTTGTTTTCTATGACCTCGCTCATTTTCATGTGGATGGGTTTGATAATTTTTTTCATTTTTTATATCTTTATTAACTCCTTCATTTTTTTCTTTCGAGTGACTGCTTGTAATCGATTTATGTTTTGATGAACTATGTTTTTCATTGTGATGTGATCTCTCAATTTTATGACTTGAACTTGTTTTTTCATTTTTTTGGTTTTTATTGCTATTTGTAGATTGGCTATTTGACATACTCCGAGATACATTATTTTTGTTGTCATCACTCGAATCCCTTTCGGTAGAATGATTACTATCATAACCATTATTATTACACTGTGGTTGAAGTGATACTTCTTCAGCAGCTACCATTGCCTTCCATTTTGCCACTAGTGCTTTCGCAGCAACACCAATTTCACCATTATACTTTCTTAACGAATTGATTGTTTTACCAATACCAGTTTGCTGTAAGTGCTCCACTTTTACGGGAAGCTTGTATAGCTTATTGATGCAGTGCAGGAGCTGTAAATATGTGTATATATAAATATATTAATATTATTATTAGAAAAGGGGTAGTGCACTGCGACCTAAAAGACCTATTGCCCTTAGTCGGATTAGAGTGTTTCTTTAAGTCCGATTTTTTTAATGTAGCCTATCTTTCCTAGTCTTGAATCCTTATGATCCATAACGTACCCGCCTAGGTGTTTCTTCCCCTTGTGCATTAGTGGCATTAATTGCTTGATCTTTTGCATTACATATATCCGATTTTAACCTATTATTAGTCGTTAACTTCTTTTACGAATGCAGGAATTAAATTAATTAATTTGAATGTATATCATAATTATGTGAAATTTATAATTAAATAAATCTGAAGAAGCTAACGCCTTATAATAAGTTAAAATCGATGCTCTGCAGACTCTGAATATTCAAAAGATGTGTTAACAGAATAATTAAACTTATCAACCCCTGATAATAATAAAGATAAAATCTCTCTAAAATATTTAAGAGGAGTATCAGTCATGAAAATAGCTAGAGCAAAACTATTTATTGTTGTAGCACGTGCCATAGACTTCCTGTGTTGGTTCGTTCAAAATAGCGAACGGCACTTCGGCTTGTATTTATTAACGTATTACTGAAGGATATATAGCAGATCCGGCCGTTACTTGAACCAGCTGACTTTAGCTATTTACGTTGCTTATGATGCATCAACACTATAGTTACGTTATTTGTTATTTCTTTCTTCATATTTTTTTTTTTTATATAATGGTCAAATTCGTAGAAATCGAGTTAGGATGAATTCTAAAAACATTAACATATTGTTAAAAATCATTTCTATTAACGTATGCTTGTATGTATGTACATATGTAATTAAATTGTTGTAAGGCCTTATGAATAGCTCAGAGAATAGGAAAATCCATATCCAATTTCTTATACAGTTACTAATGAAAAACTTGTTAATTTAACAGTTAAGATATATTTTAATAATATCAAAATTTTAACTGAAGGTCATAGCTATTTGAACCTGTAGACAAATTATCAAAGTAATGTTTTTATAATTTACTTAATATGTGAAATTATTATATTATTGCATTTATGATTTGCTCTTTACTCACCCTTTGCTCATCATCCGCCGACCGATCTATGCTTTTCTGATAATGTTCGATAACATCAAGGATAGTGGAGTTGCTCATAATGTTCGCTTAATATTTTTATAAAAGCCAGTGATTTTATTTTTTATGTTTTAATATATTTTAAATGAAAATATATTAAATGGCTTTGTTTAAATTTAAGTTATGTTTAATAATTTCTTTTTAGCATATTTCATTACAACGTAGGTTTACAAAATTATTTATATCACACGCAAATGTACATCACAGATTTTAATTTGATAATAATTAATTAAAAAAAACTCTACCTTCCAGAGTTTTAACGAAGTACGTACAACTTTTTACTAAATATGCAGTGAATTCAGTCTACTTACGTGACGTTTGCATAAAAAAAAGTTGGAAGCACTTTTATAGAGTTGCCATCTTACATTGAAATATTTATTTTATAATTCAGAGATTTCTAAATTTATTTTACTTAGTGGAATGTAAAAAAACTGATAGGAATATTCGTTGTAATATCCAATGAAGGTTCATAATAGTTCACTTAAGGCGTTGGTAACACTTCCTTCTTTAGTATTTGCTACTTCACAACTAGATGCTTGGATAGAGAAAGTAGTGTTGTTATTTTGCGTACATTTAAGCAATTATAGGTTAGCAACTAAGTGTTTTTTGTCACACTTATGAGTTACCAAAAGCACCTACTGTTTTAGTTTCCTTGCAATTGTCTTATAACTTTTTGCTTTTATTTTAGTGACTGTGTTTTGTATTTATTCATGTATTACATATCTTAATGAACACAGATATTAAAAGTTCCTTAATAAATAATAACTTTCTTCACAACTATTAACCTGTTAGTTATTTTCACAAATTTTATTAAGAAATTACTTATTTTATAATATTTAAATTTACTCATTAACACTCGCAACAGTTGTAAATAATGAACTGCTGACTGAAGTTTTCCATTTTCTTTCAAAAATCATTCACAATAGAATAGTTTTAAGATTTGCGGCTCGTTTATGTAACTTTTTCGCTTCGTTTTCACGAACGATTTTTTTCACTTTTCACAAACACTTCGAGTAACTAATTGTCACAAGTGAGAAACTCGTTCGAGAAAACGAAGTCAGAAAGTCGTTGGCATCATTTTAGTGCGAGGGGCTTATTTTAACGCATTTTGTTTTTGCCCTGCATATTTACTTTTAAGTACCACGTGTTTTATTGAAGCGATCATGTCAAAAGAATACACCTATTGTAGTGTGAGGGGCTTATTCGTTAAAAACTTTCAGAAAAGCACCACGTGTTTTATTGGATCATGCAGGTCAAAAGAATACACATAATCTGAACGTTCACTCATTAATATAAATTATCATATGCCTAAATGAGACAGTGTACTATTGCTTTTATTTTAATTCTAAAATTTATCAAATAAAAATCAAAAATTATATATATTCGAATTTGAACATAAAATTGTTATTAAAGTCTTGTTAATGTAAATGGCTAGTTATTTAACTGTCATCTTCATACTTATAACCAAAGAATACAAAGAAAATAAACTGAGAGGAAATTTTGTTCCTTGTGCCTCTTTGTGTAATATCACAAACAAATGTCTTAAGGGATTTTTAACATCAAAAAACCAAAACAAACAATAAAATTTTTCGAAAAATGCTCTTATTTTAGCAAGCATCGTGGTGAGTAGGGACCGGGTGGGCAAAATAGCAAGACCGAATGCGGTATTGTGTAGCAGGCTTTTTGTTTTTGTACGGCTTGATATTTTCACCTCATTACTCAAAATTTTAAATATAATTTGAATTATCCAGAAGATTTTATACACAATTTCTCGAGCAACTCTCAGTTTCTTTTCTTTATCTTCTATAACCAAAGAATACCTGTACAAGTATTCTTTGCTTCTAACACTAATCATTTGTTTTTCTATGTTTTTTAAATTGACTGATATTTTTAACTTAAAACATCATCATAAGTGTGATATATTAAAGTTTATATATATCAAATATCACATTTTCTTTACATTTTTATCATAAAATTAAAAAAAATATAAAGGGTAGTGTAATCATAATTCTCTAATTATAGACTTTATTTTGAAGCGTTTTTTCTTGCTGTATTCTTTGGTTAAAAGTGGCAGAGTCTAGTTGAACACAATTTTTTTGCGCCACGAAAAACAAATCACAATTTAATTTTTTCTAGGATACGAATTGATTATGTCGTCGGAAGAGGAAGATTATGATATTTTCGCCAACTTAAAAGATATTCAAAAAAGTAAGTATAAATAAAACAAATTTGCTTATATTTTTCAAAAATGTTAACTTTGCAAACAGATCTTGAAGATGGAGTTAACTTGGCTTTTGAAAATCTAGATGATGATTCAGATAAATCAATAAGTTTCAGTATGCCTGAAACACCTAAGAATAAAAAAAAGAAATCTGCGCCGAAAAATAATCCAAAAAAAGCGCCTAAAGATCCAGCTGATAAAAACCCTAAAAAAGCGCCTAAAGATCCAGCTGAAAAAAATAATTCCATCGAAACTATTAATTTCGAAGATTTTGCACCAATAAATACGAACTACATTGCACCCATGAATCGACGGAACACCCGTAGAAACAACAATTTGATGAATGATATCCCTACCTGCAGTAGGTATGCTACAAATGATATTGATTTATCACTTAATTCTAGCAGTACAACTGGAGTGCAAAGAGTAAGTTCTTGTAATAAAACCAATTTCAATACTTTTTTTATTGCGATAATTCTTAATATAGAGGTCCAGGCGTATTACGAGAGCTAAACGTAGTTATAATAATAGCGTAGCTGCTGCAAGTAGTGATATACAGTATGTCGATTTAACAACAACCCCATTACCTTTATCAAATGATGTGGTACGCTTCTCTTTTCAATAATTAATTTTGTAATTATTTAATGCTTTACATTAATCCATTATTATTTTATATTAGATAAATTTAGAGTCTGAACCTGAAGATGATACCAAGAGTAAGCCAGAAATGTCATTTGAATATGAAAATCCAGAAATGTTTATTCAAATAATATGGGTTGGAATGTATGAGACATTTACACTTCGGAAATATCAAAAATTTTCGCATATCTTTAAGATATTGGCAGAGAGAGAAAATACAAACATTGAAAATTTGGCTTTTAATATTGACTCCGAAATTATTTTTCCCGACGACACACCCGACAGTATTGATTACAAACCATATCAGTTTATAAGTATGTACAAAACAAAATTAATAATCGTTAATAAATACTTATTTTACTAAAACAGAAGGTCGTGTCTTGAACACAAAAATTGAAACACAATACAAGCACAGCAAGCCTTTAAAAAACAATGATGAGAACGTTATTACAGTGAAAATCCAATCAGATCGATGGAAACATCCGAAATCAATGCAAGTGGTGAAAACAGAAAAATTTGGAATATTAATAATCAAATTATCTGAGGAATTAAACATCCAATTGAATCAGATAAAGCTGCGGTAAATTTTTTATTTTAAATATTATTTCTACTTTATTGCTGAAACTATGTTCTATTACAGTTTTGATGATGATTATATAAATCCCAACTCGACACCAGAGGAAATAGATTTAGAAAATGATGATATAATCGATTTACACCTAAATCTTTAAAAATTACTTATAGTTCTTTTTTTTGTAAAATTTAGAAAGTGAGTTTTAGTATTTTTTTAAATTTTTTTACTATGATATCTAAGAATTAAATTTAAATAATTATTGACTGATTAAATATAAGTCATTTAATTATTTATTTATTTATTTTATTTTTTTTACAAATAGTTTGATATTATTTTTTTATTTTTGAATAATGTAAATGAATGATCGATAATTAATATAAGGAATACATATTCGTAAAACTGTTCATGGTACTAAATTTTATTTACGTGCATATTAAATCTAAAATAACTTTACAATTTTGTTAAAATAATAATGATACTCAACTAAACTGATAAATGCCTTATAAACCTTATAAAAGTATAAATTTATCTACTTTACCAAGTAAAGTGTCAAATTTTGTATGAAAAATAGTTTACACAAACTTGATAAATTTACACGAAAATTTTAAATTTATTTATTGTCAATACAAGGAGTTATTTTTCCAAATAATTTTTAGTTTGGACTTTTCGCTCAAATTAGGTATTTTATTTTATAATTTATTGATAACGACACATCTGATCTGGCAAATATGAATATGAAATTGTATCGATATTGACTAAAAAATTGTTCTGCTGAGCATTGCATTTTGCGCTGTCATACTTGTTGCTGATATAAATAGTGCTATTTTACATCAGATTGAAAAATTTACACACGCATAAACGCATAAAATTATATATTTGATAAATTTATATACTTATATGTGTACCCCTAATATCTAGGTTAATGTTTACATTGGTTTATCTTTTTAAAAAGCTAATGGTATATTTTGACTACATACTTACTTATTCAAATTGCCATAACAACCCTTTACCTGGTATTGGTCTATCTTTGTCTATTGGTCTATTTGTTTATCTTTTTAAAAAACTAATGGTATATTTTGATTACATACTTATTCAAATTGCCATAACAACCCTGTACCTGGTATCGGTCTATCTTTGTCTATTGGTCTATTTGTTTATCTTTTTAAAAAACTAATGGTATATTTTGATTACATACTTACTTATTCAAATTGCCATAACAACCCTTTACCTGGTATCGGTCTGATATAGCACGTCTCTGTAGACGCATTTATTGCGTATCAGCCCTCTTCAGACTGTTTTTTAAATGCGGTTAGTGATTAGTCAATTTGATGGCTCTATTGGGGACACCGCTATAGTTAATGGTGGAGTGATAATAAGACCCAAGCAGTGAGTTGATAAGCGGTTTCAACCTTTCACAGAGTAATCGGTATTCGGCTAATCTCAAACTAATTGGCGCAAACTGTTGGACCGGATTTTTTAAGACAGAACAGAGAGCAAGCACTTCGTTATGGCTAAGTCGTGGAATTTCAACACCATCATTTTTGATTAGGGACTCAGACAGCATATCTCCAAAGATAGAATTGATGTTATCATTGCTAAATAATAGTTTACAGAAATGTTTCTTCAACTCTATGCTCTGGTTACGGATAAACCAGATCACAGTTTTCATTCTTACAAGTTGATGTTTTAGGCTTAAAGCCTTTAGTCAGGCGGTTGACTTTTTGAGCAAACTTATGCGCAATATTCTTGTAACTGTTGACGGTAAGGTTCTACTATAGGTTCTACTCTTTGTAGCTGTAATCTGATGAAACTTCTCGCTGCACCGTTGGTTTTGTTGTGGGGGATGTTGGAAAACAAAGACATCTACAGTATCGTAAGAAGACCCTGGTAACTATCCACGTGCACTAAGTGAAGGCTGTAGGCAATTTAGATTAATCACGTCAAGGATTCCGCTGGCATTACTATTCAAATAAAATATATTATTTGACTACTAGGCTCATAAAAATCTTAAGATAATGCAGTTGGGTGATGGGGCTTAGTGATGTTTGTTATTTATATATAACTGAACTATATATATATAACTGTAATATAGGAAAACACGATACAAATGATTGGTTCGAAGTATGTTGAATGTTACCTGATAGTTTTTTATTTGTATTTTTAGTAAATCTTATATAACATCCGAGTAGTTTTTTGCCCGGATAGGAGGAATTGAACACCACTTATACAGGTACTCGATCAATTTTTTTGTGATAAATGTTCGGACATTTTTACAAAAGTTTCTTAAATAATTTATTGTTTTTGATGGTTTTAAAAAAACAAAATTATTATTAAAAATTTTCTGAAGATAATAATTAAATAAAGAACATGTGAAAGACTCATTGAGCGAATAAGACTAGGTCATTATTGTGATCTCAATAAGCATGTGGTTATTACTATAATCTAGAGGATCTACCTTGGACAATGGCCCACTGTATGGACTTGTAAGATTAGAAGGATTTAAAAGCATTTCAAACTTAATAGTAATCCTAATATATGGTTATTACTATAATCTAAAGGATCTGCACTAGACTATTGGTCCACTGAATGGTCTTGAAAGAATAGAAGCGTTTAAAATCATCTCAAATCTTTAATAAAGGCGAGAATGTTCTTTAACGTGAGTTGATTAATAATATACATAAGTTTTGTGACCTTCTATATTGTTTTGCTTGGTCCAAAAATAAATATTTATAGTATAAAGTATTTAAGACTACCGTTCAGAAATAAAGGTACCTAATGATATAGATGAAAAAAGGCCTTGACGTAAAGTCGTCATAAATACATAGAAAATCGAATGGATAATGAGTACTTAAAGTTCCATTCAAGTGATGTCTTTTAAATGTTTGAACTTTGGAGCCCCTAAGCTTTGTTAAAAATGTTGTCAAGTTTTCTTTTCTGAGGATGAAAACAATCTGGAATATAATTTATACAAATATTTTATTAGATTGCAAGTGTTAATGCAAGTATAATCTGCTTTTATCCGTTGATAAATATAGCATAGTAAATAGACTTATAGCCAATTAATGAAGTAGGTTCAGTACGTGTACCGTGTCGTATACAATAACTTGTTTTACTGCGAGGTGATAAAGACAAAGACGTGTGATTCTATTTTATTAGCTCTTCATTGGATTTTTATTACTTAACGTAAACTTCAGTTACTGAAGCTAGACTTTAGCTATATTCTTATTCTAATTTAAGGTAGTTGTGTTAAAGAAGCTTTTTACTTTAACTATGTTTCTGTTCTGTTTTAATAAAGTGGCGTCTTAAGTAAAATCTAGTTTAACTGTGCCTTTATACTGATTTTAGATGCTAGCTTTATTTCCTTCCTGGTTTATTTTGATTATGTCCCAAGTAAGATTTTCACAAAAGGTACACTCCTTTTTAAATGAGTAGTGTCTCAATAAATACCCACTCTAGTTGTGCTCTTGTTCCGATTTAAAAAAAAATTCCATTTTAGCTATATTCTTCTTTTGGACCCATTCTAGTTGTGCTCTTGTTCCGATTTAAGATAGTTGTATTCTAAGTAAAATTTCCACTTTTACTTTATTCTTTTTTTGGTTTAATACAGTAGTGTCCCAAGTAGGACTTTCACTGTAGCTATGCCCCAATGCTGATTTCAAATATTAGTGTCCGTAGTATGACTTCTACTCTAGCTGTGTTCCTGTTGTGTGATTTTGATAATGGTGTCTCAAGTAAGATTTCCACTCTAATTTAAATTCCTATTTATTTTATTATATTTATACTGCGTTCCTTTTTGTCCGGAGCTAGCTTGCTGGTTGAGTTCCTTGTCGTGACTTGTCAGACCCTCTGTTTTGCAAGTATAAATTCTTATTTGTACGGCTTTGTTTGTTATTAATATTAATATTAATATTATCATTAATATTTGATTGCTTTTGTTTTTTATTATTTATTTTTTTTTTTATATAAACTGTCCTTATTATGTATACCCTATAATGTGACTTATTTTACAGCTTTTTTGTTGTTAAAAAATATTATTAATATTATATGTTAAAATATATTTCAGTTTTTAGAGGGCATTTGTTTACAATAAATTAAATAATATACAATTTGAGAGTATATGTTTTGGATAAGAAAGAAAACATAAAATGATATTACGTATAGGAAAAAAAAATCAACAAATTTATGTGAATATGATAATAAACTGGGAGGACAGCATTAAATATCTAGGCATCACGGTGAATAAACGATTCATATGGCTTAAACATGTTCAAATGAAAAGAATTAGCTATGCCAAAATTCTTCATCACCTTCAACCACTATTCAAAAATGAAAATCTCAATGCTTAGAATAGGGTGTTGTTATATAACCAAATAATTTGACCGCCACCTCCATGTGGATGTGTAGCGTTTAGCAAGGCCTCAAATACTACTATTCGCCAGATATAAATTGCGCAAAACCAAGCTCTGAGAAGATTTTTCAAGGTACCATGGTATATTATCTGATCAAGAAATATATAAAGGATAGAGTCCTCAAATTATTCACAAAAACTTATAAAATTACCAACACTGCGTTATCGAATCTCAGAATGGTTAACGGTTCCTCGGGGAGGTATGCAAATCTGAGGTCAGTTATTGTTTAGTCGGATGAAGTGATAAACAATAATCCATACAAGGCGTAAACAGGGGTTGTGAAGTAACCTCGCATTTAGTAGAGAGTAAATGTGCTCAATTACACTGACTCAATTAATGTCAACATAATAATAATAATAATTTGGTTTAGAAAATTTGATCATAATATTATGTTTATTGGTTTCTTTTAAAAATAAGACAAAAGATTTAGGGAAATTCAAAACAATGAAAATTTAATTGTCAAAGAAAACTAACATGACGAGGCTTGCAAATTAGTTGAGAAGGTTTAAGAAAAGCAAGAGAAACATTGCTGTCAACCACAATTGGTAAAATATCTTTTAATACAGTTTATTTATTTTATTAAAATATGTAAGCTTAATCACCCTTTTTACAACGAAATCGAAGCAAAAAGTATTTGATTTTTTTTCTAAAAAAGCGATGATTTCATTACAGCAACGTCTCTTTGCGAATATTTCCAACTACTTTCACAATATTTTTATAAAATATTATACCCCAAAGTGAAAAAGGGATGTTTTCATCCATTTCGCTCTGAATATTTGAGAATT